ACACACACACACACACACACACACACACACACACACACACACACACACACACACAAACAAATATAAACACAGTCAGATGAAAACAACATGGCTTCTTCTGTAGCTTTGACACGAAGATCAAAAGATTTCAGCAACAATAAAATAAACCAGTAAAAAAACACAAAAATAAAAAACAATAAATACATAAAAATATTTTAAAACTAACAAAAATACATATTTTGAAAAGGAGATTGAAGCAAACAGAAGAAACGCTAAAATAATTACATTTTCTCATCTTTGCTGAAGAAGCTAAAACTAGCCAGACAATAACTAACAACTAAAAGGAGCTAAATGCTAGCTAAAAGCTAACCAAAGGGAAACACTAGCAAAAACAAAAGTATGCTAACCAAAAGTAGAGGTTGGCTAAAGCCTAATATGGAAAAACTTTAGTTAAAAGAAGCTAAACTTAAACACAAAAATAAGCAAAATGTTAGCTAAAGGTAATAAAACCCTACCTAAAATCACAGGATAAAAGCCAAATGTAGCAATAAATTAGCTAAAATCTAAAAGTAGTAAAGCAAGACCTAAACATAGCAAAACAACTAGCCAAAAGTAGAAGCATCTTTGCTAAAAGCAGCTTAAGTTTAAATGCAATCTAAAAGGGATTAAAGGCTAGCTTAAGCTAGCAAAACAATAGCTGAAATTAAAAAATTGTTAGCTAAAAATAGCAAAACCCTACCTAGAAGATCACTGGATAAAAGCCTAATGTAGCATGAAATTAGCTAAAGCCTAAAGTAGCAAAACACGACCTAAAGATAGCAAACAACTAGCCAAAAGTAGAAACATCTTAGCTAAAAACAGCTTAAGTTTAAATACAATCTAAAAGAGATTAAAGGCTAGCTTGAGCTAGCAAAACACTAGCTGAAATTAGAAAATTGTTAGCTAAAATAGCAAAACCCTACCTAAAGGATCACTGGATGAAATCCTAATGTAACATGAAATTAGCTAAAGCCTAAAAGCAGCAACACGACCTAAAAATAGCCAACAGCTAGCAAAAAGTAGAAACATCTTAGCTAAAGTAACAAAAGGCCAGTTGAAATCGTACATTAGCAGAGTGGTAGCTGAAAGCTAAATGTAGGAGAACTGTAGCTAAAGGCTAACAGAATCAGTAGCTGAATTAGATGTTTGAAAATCGTTTGTCAACAAAGTTAAATGTCTTGTAAATAATTAACGTTTAAAAATTAAAAGTCACAGCAGCCGTCTGCTGAACCAGCCGAAGGTTTTGATGATTGTCTGAATTAACACCAAGGAATAATAAAAGTAAAGAGCAGTAAAAACTAAACGCTGACTCAGCGTCCACACAACAAACACTATCAGCTCATCAGGTGAAGCAGGTACCGTTCAGCACCTGTGTCCTCCTGCAGACGTGGAGCGGACCTGAGAGGCTCCTGGCTCTGGACGAGCTGATCGACAGGTGTGAGACCAGCCAGGTGAAGCACGTGATGCAGATCATCGAGCCCCAGTTCCAGAGAGACTTCATATCGCTGCTGCCCAAAGAGGTACGGCCTGGAAAACCGGACCGCCGCTCCAGCTTTTAAAGTCCAGAACCGGACCCCGGGTCCTAACGCTGTGGTGGTGTGTTTACAGCTCGCCCTGTACGTGCTGACCTTCCTGGATCCCAGGGACCTGCTGCGGGCCGCTCAGACCTGCAGGTACTGGAGGATCCTGGCTGAGGACAACCTGCTGTGGAGGGAGAAGTGTCGTGAGGAAGGTCAGGATCAGAACTTCTGCACGGTCCAAGCCTAAATGATCATTTATTTTTGGAAAATCTTGAAAAACTGATAAAACTTTAAAGAAAATAAGATGAAATCCAGTATTTCCCCTGTAAAACAACATAAAGCTGGTTTATTCTGTGTCACCTGAGCAGAACCCCTACAGGTGTGTTTTCATATGATGAAAAAAGACTTTCTGGATGTAAAGTGCTTTCTAACCTGAGGGTAAGATGGAAATACAGCCACACACAATCCATCACTCCTCTTTCATTCAGCGCAATGCAGAGGCTGAGTGTGTGTGTGTGTGTGTGTGTGTGTGTGTGTGTGTGTGTGTGTGTGTGTGTGTGAGATCAGGAGACATGTCAGCCTGGCACACCGTCGCTGCAGNGTGTGTGTGTGTGTGTGTGTGTGTGTGTGTGTGTGTGTGTGTGCAGCTGGGCGCTCCGCCAGTCAGCCGAGATTCACTGCCAGCGCTCGGCAGCCATACCAATGAGGCTACGTAATGTTAGCATCACACCACAGCCATACTAATGAAGCAAGCCTCAACTGCAGCTCGGTGCTTCATAAATAAAGCTAATTATTACCAATCCTGACCCACCGCTGGGAACAGTGTTGTGTTAGCAAGAAGCCAGTGAGGATACAAAGGCAGGAGTCATTAGCAGCGCTACACTGACTTATTAATGACTGTCATTTACAAAGCTAACACAGGTAAGAGAAGCTAATCTATACAAAACATCACTACAGTAAAGATTAGGCTAATTTATGACGAATGAGATGGACTGCAGTGTGTTAGCCTTTTCCACATTAGCTTCAGTTTATGTTTTTGGTTTTATCCTAATTAGTTTAAGTCAACATACTATAAAAGATTTTACAGCAGATATGCTAATGTCATCTTTTACAACAGTAGCTTCATTTAAAGTAGCTAAAATCAGCTTAGCTTAGTTTCCAGCGGTGGTAAATCTTCAGAGCTGCTGTTCTTATTTACTCACATTAGTTATTTATATGAAACTACAGGAACAGTGTTAATGTTAGCTCATGTAACAGTCTAATTAGCAATTAGCTTCAAATGTACTCACTAATGTTAGCTTAGCTATACTGCTGCTTTGTTGGTTTCACGCTGGTATTTTTTTTCAAGTGTTATCTGTTTTCTTTACCGTTATTTTACCTTTGTATGATTTACATACACTACAGAAAAGATGCTAATGTTAGCTCATAGCCACCTTAGCTAGTAGCTTCAAAGCTACCAGCTAATACTGTCATTGCTTGGTATCAAGCTGTAGTATATTTTTAGAAGCTGATGCTAGTGTGATTTACTGTAAAAAAGAGCACATAACAGATATATTAGCTATCGGCTTTAAATATACTTGCTAAAATTAGCTTAGCTGTGTTATATCTGAACTGTTATTCTTATTTGCTCTCTTTAGTGTGATTTATATGAAATTACAAGAGCTATGCTAATGTTAACTCACATAACAAATATATTAGCTATTGGCTTAAAAACTACTAGCTAATATTAGCTTAGCTGTGGTAAATCTGTTATTCTTATGTGCTCTCTTTAGTGTGATTTATATGTAATTACAGAATCTATGCTAAAGTTAGCTCACAGAACAGTAATGTTATAGTTAGCTTCAAACTACCAGCTAATGTTAGCTTGACTTGGTTTCATGTTGAGGGAAATTTTCTCAGCTGTTGTCTTTAATGACTTTCTTTAAAATATTTTTCATAAAATTTCATCAGCTGTGTTTTTAGCTCACATCACTTTGGTAAATGGACTTTGATGTTCATCATTAGCTTTAAAGCTAGTAGCTTTGAATTAAGTCACTAACAGTACTGTAGGTCACAGCTACAATTAAAAATAAAACATTAGAAGTGTTTATTTAGCAAAATTGCAGTTTGTGAACAACAAATGTAAACCATTTCCTGTTTATTACCATTTTATGTGATTTCACTGTTGTCTAAGTCAGATGCAGCCTCTAACCTTAGCCTCGTGTTTCACAGGTATATCAGAGTGTTTGCTGCATCGTCGTAGAGAGTGCGTGCGACCAGGCGCCGCCATCAGCCCGTGGAAATCTGCCTACATTAGACAGCATCGCATAGAAACCAACTGGAGGAATGGGGACGAGCGTGAACCCATGGTACAGTTTAATAAAAACTGGTCTGTGTTGAGTCTCATAAACATGGACTGACGGTGAGTTGTTGTCATCGTTCTGCAGGTGTTAAAAGGTCACGACGATCACGTTATCACCTGCCTTCAGTTCAGCGGCGACCTGATTGTCAGCGGCTCTGATGACAACACGCTCAAAGTCTGGTCGGCCATCACTGGAAAGGTAGAGCCGTGGTTTTTGGTTAAATTCTTTACTCTTTAATTCTTGGGTGAATAAGTTAAATCCTAAATTCTGCTGTTCAATTCTGAAGCTCCAACCTTTAAATCTTGTGTATTTCTCAAAAATACACAATATTTGTGTACATGGTGGAATAATATGGCCACCTGCTGAGAAACTTAAAGTCCAGTAAGCCAAAATCTGCTGAGTCACTGGTCACCATGGTGTTTCCTGCCTTTTCCAGATAGCAGAGGCCTCAAACAAACTGAAAGTTGTGTCAAAACTCTAGATTGTGTTGAAGGAATTTTTGAATCATGAAAGGCAGAAACTTCTGGTGGCTGATTTTTTAAAATCTATATAATCTCTAGTGTTGTTTGAAAAAGATGAAACAAGTTTAAAAATAAATTCTTCAGAAATTGAAGTGACTGTTTTTTCTGCCAGTTAGCGTAGCTTCCTGTAGTGTCGCAGTAAAGCTTTGTTTTTAAGTCGTTTTTTCACATTTTCCTCATTAAACTCTGAATAATTTGTTTGTAGAGAAAAGTTGAAGTTATAAGAGCGAGATTGTTTTCAGAAATGCTTTTAAATATGATTTGTGTATAAATTTCTAGTAATAATTGCTAATCGTGTTAGCTTTTCAATGGTATTTCAATATTACGTTAGCATCTGTGCTAATTGTTGGTGAGAGTTTGTTTGAAAAATATTAGATAATTTTAAATTAGTGTGTTTAATTGTCAGTTTAACGTTTTTGGTAAAAATCTGAGAAATCTGTGAATCAGTTCAGAATTGTAAAGTCCAACTTTCTATGATTTATTTAAACCTTAAATGATGTTTCTGCTGTGACGTCTGTCTGATGTAGAGCTCAAAACAGGGTGGGTTTGACCAAAATCATATTTTTGTCTATGAAGGTACTTTTGGTCATTTTTGTCTAATTTTCCCAACAAAAGTTGTAGCACTATTACTCCAAATTGAGCCACATTTTAATGTGTTTTTTGTTTGAGATTTTCTAAAACTGCATAAAGATTGGTCCTGTTTTATGTTTATAATGACAGAACATATAAAAGATTACAGCTTGATGAGGCTGAATCGGTTGAACGGAGCAGAAAAGACCAAAGCCGAGGCAGTCGGACCTGTCGAGTTAGTCGGGGTGTGTTTCCGAGATGCTCCACTCTGTGCGTGCACACAAACACAACGAAGCGCACACAGCCTGGAGCAGCTTTGTTTGAACGTACAGCTCATACAGGCTGTGTGCTAAAGGTGAAAACTCTCTGTACGTTTGGTTTAAACACACATACGATATAAATATATTGTCTTTACAAAATCCATGTCGACATAAAGACAGAACCAGAAATAGGTTCCAGTGTTGCACCTGAGGTGTTTGCAGCGTCGGTATTTAACACAAACGCTGAGATGAGATTACTATTCTCAGGTGACATGGTTTTTGTGGAAGGGAGGAGTTATAAAAATGTGAGAGCAGAAAGTTCAGATGGTATGGTGGCTGAGCGCAGCTCAAAGTTCAGTTTCTGTCAGAGAGCTCGTTGATATCAGCTGTTTATGAAGTTTACATTTCCACTGGTTAAATATGAAAGGAATCAGAACATCCAGCAGGAAATCAAAGATATAAACCAGCGACTCGGACCTAAGATCTGCTGCTGAATGAGCTAAATTTATTTTCTATTATATGATAATAAAAATAAACAATATAAAACTAAACAACTAGAATAGGACCGGGCTGTTTATGCTCATCTTAAGTAAAAATGACGTAATTTGAGAAAAACTTAAGCTAAAATTCGTCTTGGTGCTAGCTGAGCATAGCCTTCAGCTGATACAGCTAACAGTTTGCTTTGGTAAACAATCAATATGGCCGACGATGCTGTCAGCATTAGAGATGCTGAGCTGCAGTTTGGTCTTTACCTGAGCTTGTAGCAGCACAGGTGAGAAACACCTGGATTAGGGCTGGGCGGTATGACCTCAAATTCATGTCAGGGTATAAATTTGATCCTTCACAGTAACAATATATA